CACCTTGTCTCCCATTAAACATTCCGACGGTTCCATTCAGCCATTTTTAATCCACTTTGGTATATCACGTTATTGTTCAATAAGACTACTCTAGGCGTAACCAGGAGATAAATGAACAGAAAAAAGAGATATGACAGGAGGAAATGCTGCTTTAAGTTTTGTGCAGGCTGCTTTCATAATGAGGCACTCAGTCCTCCTTCTGGGCAGTCAAGTAATCTCTGCTGCCCTGGGCATGTAATGACTCGGCACACGCAAATGCTTGGTAAGGACTTGGCTTTGTGTTACACTTGACCATCCCATGTAGACATCAATACATGATATCTGCCATATTTGATGCTAAAGGGGAATGGAAGAGTTCAGCTATAAGAAATGAATACTGAAATAAATGTATTCACCTTTGAAAGAGGCAATTAGGGGGTCACGTTGTATAACTACATAAATGTTCCATATGGTAAATTTACTAAAGGTTGTTTAAGGACATGTGAAAGACGAGGAGGCTCTCTTTGAGCCTGGGGGAAAGGAGGTTTAACTTCTGTATACAGAAATGATTCTTTACTGTAAAAGATGATGGATGAAGAATGTTCCTGCATGTATTGCTGTCACTGCCTCTTCTCTGCCTGCATAGTGTCACAGCTGCCCATTTGGTGTCCACATAATATCACAATGGTCTGGTTGTTGCTCTCGTATTGGTACAACTGCCTATTAATTTCTAGTCAATTGGTCATGATTGCTTGTTGGTTTCCCATATATTGTCACGATTGCCAGTGTGTTGCCATATCTGTTGCTCTTGCATTGGCACAATTACCAGTGTGTTACCTTAATATTGCCAGTGCGCCATGATTGTCATTGTGTTGTCCACAAATTGCCTTAATTGCTATTACCATAATACAATCTGCTGCTGTTAATTCCATCCCTAAAGGGGATCCCTTTATCAAATCATACAGTGATCCATTTGATTATAGTATCTTGAGTCCAATCAAAGCTTTAGCCCATTCTAAGCCGTGATGAAGGGGTAGTGTTGTTGCACCAAACACACTGGCTGTTTTTTGTTTGATCGAATTGTGAACAATTAAAGACATATTTGGACTCTCACCTTTTGGTTTGGCGCCCATTATTTCTGAACATTGAGTCACTTCTGGTTACTCTACAAGGGAGGCCTGTTTTTCTTGGGAGCTGCCTTGCCACTGCCAGTGAGTCTATTTGCAAACTTTCCTGCAAATGGAAGATTTGAGTGAGCACAGAAATCCCAGCACCTCTTAAATGTGTTCCTTTGGAGCTACTTGAAATTGACCAATACAGTGGCTCTCAGTATCCACATCTAACAAAATGCTTACATTAGATTGGGGAAATAATTCTGCAAGCAAAAAAGGAAAACATAGGACAAAGGTCACTGTATGCTCTCTGCAGCTGATTCTTCCCTTATTATGGATTTACGATGGCTTGTGGAAGCAGCCATCTTAGTAGAGAAGAGCAAAGCTTTGCTTTGTCTTGTCAGAACTGATGACTGCTCATTGGATGAATGGTGGGGTAATGTTCAAGCAGCAGAAGAAGAGGTGGAGGAGTCAGATCAACAGAATATATGAAGCAGAATCAGGAAGAACCATGCACCCTTAGGTACAACCTCTCCAGCAAGGTGAACAGACAAGAGATCAAAGGCAACGGTGTCATAGAAGATCTCACACTGCAGATATGCAGCTTTAAGCTTGTAGAACTGATGTGCCTACACATCTAGACACAGTCACATGGCAGAATGTGCACCGCTGTTTATCAAAAGTAACTCCAGGCAGAAGGTACATTTTTTAGAATACTACTTAGGCACAATTAACATTTCTAAATGTTCCATATAATCTTCTAAGCTTTTTGAGTTCAGGTCTGCTTTAAGGGAACTACTTAAACTGGAGGCACTCAGAGTATGACCCCTTCACATATATGGGGGCTGACTGCTTAATATTACTATTATTATTATACAGGATTTATATAGCGCCAACAGTTTGCACAGCGCTTTACAATATAAGGAAGACATTGCAATCACAATGCAATTCAAGACAAGATGGTAAGTAGGGTCCTGCCCGTGAGAGCTTACAATCTAAAAGGGAGGGACACGTGATTAGGTGTGTAAATGCTGAAGTAGAGCCTTGTGATGTAAACTGAGACAACAGATGACATGATGAGGTAAGCAAGCAAGTAGTTTTTCATTTAGGTTAGGTAGCTAGGCAAGGTGGACTAGTGAGGATCCATAGGCTCCTTCTGCTGTCAGTCAAACTGTTGGGTGGAGAGGAGGGGCATGGCCTGCTGCAGGACTGTGTCTTTATGCTAAAAGAGCACTTGCTCATTAAGGGCCTATGCATGGTACATCTGTCAACGTGTTGCAGTGCCATTTTCTTCAATGGCACCCAAACGCATTACACAACACGTGCTTTGCAATGTACTGCAATGCATGGTAAAGCACTACAATGCATGGTGGTGTACAGAGGTGCAAAAATGGTGCATGTCCAGGCATTTATGAAACATGTGTTAACACACAATGAATAATGCAGTGCACGATGAGACACCAAGGTGTGAATGGGCCCTAAATATATTTTAAATTAAGCTAGTGCAAGTATCTGAATTTGTATGATATTAGCCTCTTGTAATGCACTGAATAACAGCTATTAGACTGGGAGAGGGGAGGTCAGCAAAAAAAAACAACTATAATAGATAAAATGTGTGAATTCACCAATATGAAGAGAAAAGACCAATTAAAAAAAGAATCATACATATATGATGGTGAAGAAAAGATAAGTTGGCCATCCACTATGGATACAAGAGCTTCCTTCTCCATCAGTCTTGAGGAAAAAAAAGTGATTGTTTACCAGTTACAGTACTTAGCTCCCTTAGCACCTGTGGGTGGTTGTTATCTGCAAAGATGCTACACCAATGTTAATATGGAGAATTCTCATGTTCACTTTTTGGCAGGGATGGCAGCCATAATGTATTACTTCTACCCTATTAGCAGAGACTCTTCATGACACATGTTTTTATTACGTTTTATTGATTAGCGCTAAGCCAGTAGATCATTGCAGAAAAGGCCTGTATATATTCTTATCTGCACAATATCTGCCAATTACCAAACCAACAATGCTTCCATAAGACCTAATTAAATTCTGCTGTAAATCCTTGGACAAGTCAGGCTATAATTCACAGCCTCTGAGTCATTGATCTGATTACAATGTGAAGTTTTCATGCAAGAAGCTCGGCATATGGGCTGCAGATAGGACAGCTGGTTTACATAACCCTACAGTTATAGGCACAAAATGATCTTCTAAGGTTGTTAAAGGGCATCTCGGCATAGAGCAGCAATTAAATGAGGAGAACAGAAATTTGACCAACATTTGCATTATAGCAGAGCTAAAAGCCCAACTAAGTTTAAATGAGTTACATTTATTTTAAAGGCATTAAAACAAAATGTGTGCAAAGTATAAGGCCTCTTTCCATGAGGCTTTTATGTCCAGATTCTTGTGGCAAGAATCACAGGTGGCTCTGGACAGATTCGGCTACTCTTCCTGTACAAACAATACATTTCTGTCAACGGTCGCAGCTGTCCGCCTGTGTTCTGATGTCATTGCACATGGAGTGATTACCTGCGGTTAGAGAAAGATGAGCGATCAATCAAGTTGCTTGTGTCCAGGACCAATCGTCTTTTCTGTTATTCTAATGGCCAACGCAATGGGCCCACACTGCAGGCTGACAATGCTGCTGCTAATGGTGCAGCAGCGGCTTAAGGTGCCCATACACTGTGCGAGTTTTGACAGTGGGTGCCGCTGTCAGCACCCATTCGTCCGGCATCAGCTGATCGAAAGAGCCGGACAGAAAATCTCCGTACAAACAGAGCGGGCAGCCAATGAGCTGCCGGCTTTTGTTCGGGTATTCTGATAGTGGCCGGCTGTGTGTGTTGTAAAGTAGCCACTGCTCCAAGCTCGCTCTTGTGATTGGTATACTGAGCTTAGGGTAACGGGAGGACGCTAGTTTGTGTCCTCCCGTTACCCTAAGGAGAACTATGGGGAAAAACACTGCCCTTATAGTTCTCCTTTAATAGTTAGGGTACTTGAATGCATTTTTAAGGTTTAACTCCTGCGTTTAGTGTCACTTTAAGGGTATACCTTTGTTGTAAACCAGTGGTCTCAAAGTATGGCATGCTGCCAGCTCACAAGTCATGTACGGGGGGTGTATTATTTTATATGTGCATCTTGTGTTTTTCTGCAGCAGGAATCCCTAATCTGGTGTTTAAAAGCGGCAGATGTCACCTATTCAAGTTAATGATCATATGACAGCAGCTGCATGTAAATGCCTGCACACTGCATGTAATGGTAGGTGATATGATTGTATTTGTTTAAAAATCAATCACTCTCCCTGGACGCATCGATTGTGCATCCAGGGAGAGTGTTTTCTAACCGCATGTAATAATATCATATACTATTACATGTGGTGGGCAGGCGTTTACATGCAGCTGCTGTCACCTAATCATTAACTTGAATGGGTGACAGCGGCCGCTTGCAAACACCAGATTGGTGTATCCTGCTGCAGCAAAACACAAGTTTGTGACACAGAAATCCCTAATTTCTCCTAAACCTATAGATATGAATAGGGCCTTATTGTGTGTATATTGGTGTCTGTAGTACAATACCGGATATAGTTACATTTTATTTTAAGGTATGAAATTTGGCAATCGGCCCCCATGGGAGAAAAAAAATGTGTTGAGTGGCCCCCGTGTGAATTGAGTTTGAGACCCCTGTTGTGAACCATGCTCAGTTGAGTGTGTGTGTGGGGGGTAAAGGAATGATTTGCATGGCTCTGCTCACCGTCCTTTCAAAATGCATAAGCATGACCGGTGATGCTGTAATGAAAGCAGGTATCCAGTCATCTTTTCCATTTAGAATTTTATCTTACAGTTTTCCCCATTTCCCTGTTTGATATTTATAATGCTAATTATCTGAACAGGTATGTTTTGTTTTTAATCACAGGGTGAAAGTTTTCAAAGGGAAGAAAATTGGCGCAGAGTTTGACATCAAAATAGAACAAGTAAGTAATTAAAAGCAAATTCTGTTATCTCTTTATCTGTTTAATTGATCAGGACATTTCTGTCCATGATTTGCTATTGTTCTTGCTTTTTTTAGGCTCCTTTTTTAGGCTCAACATATTAAAAAAAGCAAGAATTGTTATAACAGGTATAAGAGTGACGAAAGACATAAGATGTAATGTCCTATATAGCAAACTGAAATATGACTAAGAAAAAACAACAATGTCCCACCGCTCATTTAAAGTATATAAAATGTTATATATCTTCCTTCGTTTTTATGTCTATATTTAGCCATGAAAAACAAGCCAAATGACCGCTGGCTCTAATAGGGGAATTCCCTTTACATATCAGCTCCTGTTAATGAGCATGTTTAAGGAATGCGGACGCAGGAGTATTAGTGTGGGCTGACACATTAGTAGGAAGCTAGATACTTCTACACTGCAGTTTAATGACTGTAATTTCCTCTGCTCTGCTGTTTATGTTAATATCACAGAAATCCTGTTCATACCCACCACTGAATTTTAAAACTGACATTCCTTAGAGTGAATGTCATGACAAGAACATATTTCTGTGGTGTAAGCCTGTATGTGGCTAGCCGTATTCAGTGCACTAGATCTCTGCTGTTCTTTGTAATGAAGTGGACATTATTGGGCTCATTTATGTGTGTGAAATCAGGTAACGCTTTTGTTGCAATACAGTAACCAATCCAATTATTTTTGGCATGTTGGAAGTGTTTGTTCAGACTTGGAAGATAAAGGGAATCTGCCATCCAGAAAAGACCATGCGGACATTCAGCAGTTCACTAAATAGATAATGGAACATGTTTGTGTAGTATCTGCATTAGAATGACACTAAACTCAGGAGTTAGATCTTAAAAATGTATTCAAGTAACCTAACTATTAACAAAAATGTATCTTATTTGTGTATCACTTGGCTGTAGATCCTCAAATCATTTGTGAATTCTTGTCCTTCCTTCTGGAGGGTGGCTACCTTTGTTCCCCATTGTCCCTGTGTGTGTTGTAAAGTAGCCACCACTCCAAGCTCACTCCTGTGATAGATTACAATCTCAGGTTTAGTTTACTAGTTTGTATTAATTTATAGTCTATCTTGTAGCGGTGGGTACTTTGCAACACACACAGGGATTATGGGGAAAAAAACTAACCACCCTCCAGAAGGAAGGACAGTGTCAATTCAGAGATGATCTTAGGAGCTACAGCTGAGTGATACACAAATAAGATACATTTTTGTTCATAGTTCAGGTACTTGAATGCATTTTTAAGTTTTAACTCCTGAGTTTAGTGTCACTTTTAATGTTAAATATAAATACTAAAATCACTGTGTTCAGCTATGGTGAATATTTATCACCAGTGTAAAGGCCAGTGTCACCCAGTGCGGCCACTGGGCGTCACCCAGCGCATGACGTCATTATGCACGCACGTAATGATGTCATGTGCAACTTACTGCCTGCAGCCATCTTGGTGAAGGACGGCGGTTAAGAGAGGAGGGGATTTTCATCCAGCTGGATAAAGGTATGCTGCCAGGTCCCCTCCTCTTTCGTGCAGCTGTCAGGTTCTAGGTCCATGACCAAGTGCCTGAATTTTCAAAGGGGCGACAGTTATAGGTGTAGTGCTGAGGTTATTACTCTAGGTGGAAGTGTTGAGAGTGCTGGAGGCCTAGAGGTAACCAGGCCAGCTGAAGGAAGCTGGCTCATTAGGGCCTCCATAAGATATCCCAGGCTGCTAAGTGAGTGGTTCCACCTGGGTGACAGAGGAGGTCTCTGCAGGAGTCAGTAGGGCTCCACCCTGGAACCAGTCTGTGCGTCCGGCAGACTGGGGAGCAGTTCATCTGTATGGCGGCAATCCCCCTGTGTGGCAAGGCCTTTGAATACAGCCTGAAATTTTGGTTGAAGGAACCACCTGAAGTCGGTGAGACTGAAAAATGTTTGTTTGATGACAGAAAACGGTACTTTATGTTTGAAAACCCCTGCGAGGGAACACCTGTGTGGACTTTTCTTTTGAGTTAATAAAAGTGGGCAAAAAAGTCCTTTAAAAGGTGAAAAGCTAGTGGGTGTCCTTAATGCGCTTCTGTTTGGAGCTAATTCTCACAACATGTAGACAATATATAGCAGGTTTTGCATCCCTTTTAGTGGCGCTTCACAATAGCAATCCATTCACATAATAAAGTCTTAGTGTATAAAACACCTTCTGAGGCATTTATTAGCATCCGAAATGGAGATCACAAAGCAGTGGTGCTCAACTTACTTAATATAGGAGGCCTCAAGTGCAGCCCCTGATATCATCAAAGGGTCACACGTGATATTCAGTGAATGTAATGCTACAGAAGCTGTCAGGGTCTGCCATTATTGTTAATGGCAGCCCAAATGCGGCAAGGAAGATGCGCGGTTTGGCGCATAAAAATATGTGGTCAGAAATATGCATGAAGCATGCAGCGCAGACATCTGCATGAGCTTCTATGCTGCTTTTGTCACGCATAGGGCAGCTCATTGAAATGAATGGGCTGTCCTTTGCAGACAACCGACCAACGCACCATACACGCAAAAATGCTACCCACATTCAAGCACGTAGCAAGTGTAAATGGGGCCTTAAGAATATTTGGCTTAAATAGAAACACCTAAGTAAGGAATACACAGACTAGTGCCTGCAGGGGCTCAGAGAGCAGGAAAATAAGTGTCATAGGGCTGCGTGCGTTCCATGGGTCGCAGGTTGAGCGCCGTGGCCATAAAGTGCTAGATCTTTAAGTACAATGCTAGAACCTGAAGCATTGCTTGCAAAAACTGGTTCAGATATGGCCACTCTGTGCTAAGAGAAACACCTACTTAATTCCAGAAAATGATTATAGTACTTAAAGTGCAACTGAAGCCAACACGTTTTTTTCAGTCTTGGATAGAATGGACAGAGATTAGAATGGACAGAGATTAGAACACCTGCCGGGTTTTTATTGCTTTCTGTGTCCCTATTGGGGAGCTTCACCCCCTCTATTTGTCCTGGTGGCCATTATCAGTGAAAGTAAATCCCAAATTCTGGGTTGCCATCAGAACTGGAATAGATGGGGGATCCCTCGCTTACAAGGTATTTCCTCCCACTTCCTGTTGTGGCTTATGGACCGGAAGTGAAGAGAAATCTGACCATTGGGACACAGATGACAGCAAAAGCTGATTATAACCCTCCCTTACACTATTCAAAACAAACAAAATAGGAAGTTTTGGTTTACGTTCTGCCTAAACACAGGAGAGTTTCTTTTTTTAGTATGTTATTCAGCTAGGCAGTTCATATTGCCATCACAGGCAATATGAACTGCATATGAGACAGTAAATTAAACAATGGTATTTTTTATCTCGCTCAATTAGGGCTGAGATGAGTACAAAAATGTTTTTTTTCTCTTTAACTTGTGCAGTATATTTACTAAACAGCGATTTTACAAATCTTTTCTGTATAACATAACATCATTTCTATATTATACTGTAATTATCTTTCTTTATGTTTGGTTTGTAGGCTGAATTCTGTGATCTAAACCTGGTGGCACACTCCAATGGAACGTTCTCTGTGGATGTGGAAGTCATGAGAAATGGAGTGAAGGTGGTGAGGTGAGTCAGCTAATAGGACATGGCAACAGCTGCACAGATGGTACTATACTGTATACTGCAGTAGCATTTCTATATATTAAAAGGATTTCCACCTTCTATGCCCCCCCAATCAAGCAAAATCAGAACCTCTGTCCATAGAGGTGGATAGAAGCTGTCCTGCATTTGCTGGCATGCATGGCGGTGCCAGGGTCTACAGTGTAAAGCAAAAGATCAAATTAAATGCAAGCTCCAGCTGCCTATACTTGCTTTCCCTTTGCTCTTCACCTCTTCATTCAGGGCCCATTCCCACTTGCCTGTCTGCTAAAATGCAGCGATTTAGTGGACAGGCTGTTGCGTTGCTGCAGCTCTGGCATTGTGCATTGTATTGCACACTGCCAGAGCTGTCATGGTTAAAAAATTTTCCTGTGTTTTTTAACTTTGTGGAGTGCACAATGTGTACTGCTGTGCAGTGACCTCCACTGGCATTCCGTGCACTTCGATAAAATGCAGCATGTTCACATTTTATCACAGTGCACCACCCATCACACGCGAATTGTGGTGTTAATGGGACACATACAAAACCATTGCTTTCTATCTGTCCTTGTAGTTACCTGCATTGGTCCGGTATGGTACAACGCAGGTTGCCGCAGTATGTGTGAATGGGCCCTTACCCACAGGAGCAAGGAGAAGAAGCCCAGTGTAATCTCCATGTTGCTGTTTGGAGCTTACATAGAGCTAACTACTCTTGCCACCCCCCATGACCAGTGGTGTATTTTGGTTTTGTGCTGCCCTAGGCAAGACTAAACCCGAGCATCCCCCCCCATCCTTAATCTAAATTAGTCCCACCCCTTCCTGTTTAAGACATTTTGCATAACCTGTCAGTCGCAGTATACAGCGCGCACAGTGTATCTAGATTCTGACAGGTTGCGCTATCAACGTAGCGGGGCGCTCTAGTTCTACCTTTGCAATAGCCACCTTCTCCATTTCTGGCTTGATGGGCTACCTAGTTCTGCAGCTACAATACCCATTTTCTCCTGCCTTGCCCTGCCCTACTGTGCTAGTCTCTACTTCTGCAGCTGCAACACCGATCTTCTTCCTTAATATGCTCTGCCCTCTAATTCTCCAGTTAACCATCTTCTGCCTTGGCCGCTGGGCTCTATAGATTGCCCCGCTCTAGAGACATAACCCTGCATGGAGCTTATAGGCTGCACTTCCCCGGACTCACCACGACGGAGCTGCCGATGAGAACGATGACATCTGGATCTCAGCCCTGGGGTCCTATGGTAGCTCCTCCGCTGCCTGAAGTCAGAGATTTGGGTGCTTGTTTCCCAGTGAGGTCCGGCGCACGAACTGCCAGTGCATCCGGACAAAAGTCACACACACCAATACATTGCACAGCATGTTGACCAAGAAGAGGAAGGAGCTGCAGCCGACATATATGTTGGAGTAGGCGGCATAGGTGGACACGTTGGTCCCCCAGTCAAAGAAGCACCAGGTCCAGGAGTAGTGGCAGTAATTTATGAATAATTTATAATATAATTTATTTTTTTCCTCTTACCTAACTGGTTTGGGGGCAGCATTTTTTCATGCCCCCCTGGAAAGTGCCGCCCTAGGCAAATGCCTAGTTTGCCTTGCAGTAGATACACCTCCTGCCCATGACAGTGATCAGGTGTACAAATGGTCACCTGACGCAGTACGGTGGGAGAAGGACCGATAGGCATAGCAGGTAATATTGGAGGGCAGAGGGGAAGCAAGAGGAGTATATGTAGGGGTGCGGACAGTTGACTCTTTCATTAAATGTGGGTTCACCTCATACATGACTAGTCTCTCGTTAATCATCCACTAGCAGTTCAGAAACAGCCCGATTATCAGAATTACCCTTACAAACTACTTTATTTTCCCACACTGAACGAGGCCATAGTCAATGCTATACAAAATAACCCTGACAAACGCTCTCTTCCATGCATTCTACACATGCTTGGTTTCTGAACAACTAATCAGTTTATGTCCTTGGTGCTTTTCTCAGGTTACATGAACTAAAATGAAGTACCGATCAGCTCAAATCTCCCCATCAACATAATAGGATTCATAATTTGCTTTAATCCTGTTAATTGTTGAGGTGTTTAAATTGCAGCAGTCCCCTGAGATGATTGCCAGTTATTGCTGTGTTTATTGACGGCTGGTGATAAATAAGAAAGATTTTATGCCCTACTAGAAATAAATGATGTTGACGCCAAGGTGTACAAATCGCTGTGCCGGTATCAGTGAAAGCAAGGTTCCGATTGGCTGGTGTGGACTACACTTACACTTTTAGATGGTTATGTAGTTAATTGAGCTGAAAAATGGCTTGTGATCCATTATGTCTATCAATTTATTTTATTTAGCTTCTAGATAGTTACTGTATAAAGCAGCAAGTGATTTGCCCAGAAGCAATATATGCCCTTCATTTGTAGAACATGTTTGTTTTCATCCACCCACTTTCTTATTATTGCTGCTTGCACAGCATCTGAATCTCTCTTTTTTTTTTTTCCTCAATAGGAAAGCCAGTTTGCTCTAACATTTATAATATACACAGTGTTTGCCGTCATCCCATTGCTTTAAAGCATTTCTGTTTTCAAATAATGACTCATTGATTTCATCAGCAATTCCCATGTGTACTGTGCATTCAGTATCCTATGCATGACAACTTTAGTCTTAAAGCTAAACTCCAGACAAACACACATATACATAGAATACATGAAAACATAGAAAAAATAAAGATGTTTCAGCTGACAAAGGATTGGTGATGTTCACCCATTCCTGAGACGCATAAAGTCTTGCCAGACAGCACAGGCAGATCAGTGACCTGACTTTTCTCTACTCTAGTAAAACTATACAGCTTGTTTACTTTCCTCTTCCCTTTCCTCTTCCCCTTCCTCTTCCCTTTCCTCTTCCCTTTCCTCTTCCCTTTCCTCTTCCCTTTCCTCTTCCCTTTCCTCTTCCCTTTCCTCTTCCCTTTCCTCTTCCCTTTCCTCTTCTTCCCCTTCTCCTTCTTCCCCTTCTCCTTCTTCCCCTTCTCCTTCTTCCCCTTCTCCTTCTTCCCCCTCTCCTTCTCCCTTCCCCTTCTCCTTCTCCTTTCCCCTTCTCCTTCTCCTTTCCCCTTCTCCTTCTCCTTTCCCCTTCTCCTTCTCCTTTCCCCTTCTTCTCCTTTCCCCTTCTTCCCCTTCTTCCCCTTCTTCCTCTTCCCTTTCCTCTTCCCTTTCCTCTTCCCTTTCCTCTTCCCTTTCCTCTTCCCTTTCCTCTTCCCTTTCCCCTTCTCCTTTCCCCTTCTCCTTCCCCTTCCTTTTCCTTCCCCTTTTCTTTCCCCTGTTCCTTCTCCCAGTTGGTGTTCTCCCATTGCAAGGGAGTAGAAGAGGCTAAAGGTGCCCATACACCTTACGATTACCGCGCGATTATTTTCATACGATGATCGAACCGTCGTTCATTTTCATACAACTGCCCCATCATGCACAGACCATTGTGGGTTTCAATTAGCGTTCGTTAGCAATATCACCTGGCCGAATTTCGTCGATTGACAGAACGGATTTTCATTTGCGCATGAGCAGTGTTCTTGTTGCGATTATTTTCGTACGAAAATGCCACTAATCCATCGAACTTTTCAATAAACGTTTTCTAGCCTGCTGGAAAGACAAAAGTCGAACAGTTGTACAGTAATTGCGGTTGTGCACTTCCCATCAAGTGTGCGATTATCGTACGAAAACGCGATTCCATCCGAAAATCGTGCGATAATAGTAAGGTGTATGGGCACCTTAAGACCCCGTTCACACTGAGCGGTTTGTCGCGTGATTTCAGCTCCAAAATCGCGCATATTTCAGCACAATGTCGCTCAGTGTAGCTTTTCCAATGCATTTCAATGGAACTGTTCACACCTCACAGCTCAATGTCGCCTGTAGCTCGTCGCTCAAGTTTGTAGCTCGAACGTGACCTATTTTGCTGTGGATGTCGTGCGATTTGCCCAAAAAAGACTCAATGGTGTTGCTCAATGTCGCGCATTACCGGCGATATTGCACGACCTTGTCGCGCGTGCACAGCAATATAAAAGAAATGATGTCACATGAAGACCGCTTTTGATTGGTTACAGCCCAATGTAGCAGCGACGAAGTCCCTCCCAAAAGTCGCGCTATGCAGCGCGACAAAATGTGCAATGTAGATTAATGTCGCTCAACTCGAAAACGTGCAGACATTTTTCATGATGCTCAGTGTGAATGGGGTCAAACACCTAGATAGCTTGACGTACTTAATTTGCACAGTTGAGTTTTATTGCACACATTGCATTGCTAAAATGCAACTTCCCCATGATAAAATAGTGCCTATTTCCATCTCTGCGCTGCAACACAGTGCGTTTTATAAAATACGACACGTCTGGGTTTTTTTTTTTTAGTGCATTGAGGCCCAAAGAAGTCAATGACAATGCATTAAAATGCATGTTACATGCGCTTGGATATGTTGGCAGCAGATATTAACAAGCCTTACTGAATGAGTGTTAATTCTATCCGCTTCAAATCCTAAAGTCAAAAATGCATTGGAAATGCACACAAACATGTCGCATTTCAATGCGCAAAAGAAACACGATGCATGAAAACGCACTTGCCCAATACTAAAAAAATGCACGTCTGTGCACACGCATAAATCTAAACGGGCAATAAATGATATTTTTAGCGAAGATGTAACTGCATTAACGCCTGCCTGGAATTCAGCTTTACATCCTCATGCTATAGACGCAGCAAGTATGTAATGCTGTAGATGCAGCAAGGTGTAATTACTCCCGTGAACTGTGTGGGGGCGAGTTTATTGCCGCTCACGTTTATATACATACGCCCCTTTTGTACTTTTGCAATATGCACATTTCTAAGCCTAGCCTTTATCTTTTCCATTCACCATAAAAAGAGCGGTATCTTCACTTTGCACATGCGTAATATAACAACGTATTAGGGGTACAGAGTGCACATGCATTTAGTGGAACATTTTAAGACTTGACAGAT